AATATGAGCCACTGGGGAAAGAATGAATCTTTATGAGAATAAATAAACTTATGAGAATAAATGATATGAGAACAATTTACCTATTTGGGGAGATTACAGTAGTGTTCTCTTATGCCATATACCAAACTACTTAGATTGATTAAAATGAAACATGTAAATAAAGGGGGGAAAAGTTAAAAATCTAAAAGAAAAAATGTATATGTAAGTCTTTCTAAACATAATGCTAAAAGTAAGAAACTTAAAGCCTTTAAGCTTTTAAATATTAAAATGTTTTAAATATTCTTAAAATATTAAACCCTTGAAATAAAAATCAAACAAAAGTAAATCTTGCACCCCAGTGATTTTTGCAGCACTATTTACAATAGCTCAGACATAGAAGCAATCTAAACAGGGGAAAGGATAAAAAAGATGTGGTACATATATCCAATGGAATATTACTCAACCATAAAAAAGAACAAAATAGTGCCATTTGCAGCAACATGAGTGGACCTAGAGATTATGATACTAAGTGAAGTAAGTCAGAGAAAGACAAATATAATATGGTATCATTCATGTGTAATCTAATTTTAAAAAGGATGTTGCTGGTCAGTCACTAAGTTTTCTGACTCTGCAACCCCATGGACTGCAGCACACCAGGCTTACCTGTCTTTCACCATCTCCTGGAGTTTGCTTAAAACTTATATTGACTGAGTCAGTGATACCATCGAACCATCTCATCTCTCATATTAAAAAAGATACAAATAAACTTATTTATAAAACAGAAACAGACTCACAAATTTCTAAAACAAACTTATAGTTACCAAAGGGAAAATGTTGGGGGGAAGGGATAAATTAGGAGTCTGGGATTAACATACATAAAATACACACACTACTACTATAAGATAGATAACCAACAAGGACCTACTGTATAGCACAGGGAACTCTACTCTGTAGAGTAATAATATTCTGTAATAATGTACACGGGTAAAGAATCTGAAAAAGAATGCATATCTGTATGTCTATAATTGATACACTTTGCTGTACCCCTGAAACTAACACAACAGTGTAGATCAACTATACTTTAAAAATAAAAGAGTACCAAAAAAAGTAAATCTGCTTGTTATAGGGTTAGCTCTTAGATCTTTTAGAATATGTTAAAATATAGGATAAAGTCCTCCTTGGGTTCTGTTCAGACTGTAATGGTCTTGGCAAGACAGTGGGGAAAATGGGCAGGGCAGATGTTAAAAAGTGGCCTGGGGCTGCACTTCCCCCAACAGTGCCATCTTATTACAAAGGAAGTTGAGACTTGGAGGAGGAGAATGGAAAGAATCTGTCCAGGATACTCCTGCTGCCTGTGCTTTGTAAATGATAATACAATTCATCCTTGGTAGTAGACCGCTGGTGCCTAGGGTGGTGGGATTTCCAGGGGGGGTTCTTTCTCATGCATGTGTAGCTCTGCAAATTGTTTCTGTTCTGTTTTGCTTTGCCCAGATCCTGTGGGAAGGCAGTAACGTTCATAAGTAATGTTTTAGACTTTTTATAGGAAAATAGACTTTTTATAGGAAAGCTTTTCTGGAAGTTCTTACTAGAAAGGGAAGGTAAGCAGTAGTAGTATTTCTACAAGAAAGTATTCACCCTTTGGTGTCCACCTGAAACCATCACAACGTTGTTAGTCAGCTATATTTCCATATAAAATAAAGAGTTCAAGAAAAAAAGGACAAAGGACTCAGGGCAATTTAGTGATTTCTCCTGAATGTGGTTTGGGGTCAAGAGACAGAAATAGAAAGCAATGGTTATTACAAAATATTGAATATAGTTTTCTATGCTATACAGTAAGTCTTTATTTATCTGTTTCATATATAAGAGTATGTATATGTTAATCCCAAACTGCTGACTTATCCTTCACCCTCTTTCCCCATTGGTAACTGTAAGCTTGTTTTCTGTGTCTGTGAGTCTATTTCTGAGGGTTTTTTTCCTGTTTGGTAAATAAGTTCACATATCATTTTTTAGATGCCACATATAAATGATATTATATGGTATTTATTTTTCTCTGTTTGACTTACTTCACTTAATATGATAATCTCTGGGTCCATTCATGTTGCTGCAAATGGCATTATTTCAATTCTTTTTATGGCTGAGTATTATTCCATTGTGTATGTCCACATCTTTATCCATTCCTCTGTCGATGAACATTTAGGTTCCTTCCATGTTTTGGCTATTGCATATAAATTATGTATGTATATGTGTGATATATATAATTGAATCACTTTGCTGTGCACCTTAAACTAACACAATATTGTAAGTTAACTGTTAAATCTTGAAAAAAAATTTGTAATTAAAAAAAGGAGGGAGCAGTAGAATTGCTAGGTCAGAGTTCATTTGCTCACATTTGGAATTTTAATAGATGTTGCTAACCTGCTGTCTGTGGAGATACCTATCTATAGTTCCCCAGTGATGTTAGGGAATTCACTGGTGGTCTAGTGGTTAGGACTCCGTACTTTCACTGCTGGGGCCTTGGGTTCAATCTCTGGTTGGGGAACTAAGATCCTACAAGCTGCAAGGCGTGGCAAAAAAAAAAAAAATCAAAGATATTTGACTAACACTCTGTGGCAAACATTCTGATCTTTGTCAGTCTGATAAAACATCTGGGTAAAGTCATTTCATAACTGAGGTTGAGCACTGTTTCAGGAGTCACCAGATTTTCCTTGTTTGGGAATCAGAGCATCACAGAGCTAGAAGAGACCTTAGAGATGAAGCCCAGCCATTCAGCCTACATATGGGGAACCTGTTTGACCCCAGTCACTTGAGTAATCCATGACTGAAGCCAGATCAAACCCTCTGTCTCTTCTTTATCATAACAGCTCTCTGGCTGAGTGTCAGACAGCCCTGGAAAGGTCTCTGGAGCATTCTGGGTTTGGCTCCAGAGCCAGGAAGCTGAGAGTTACAGCTCGGAATCACAACATGATGACTGTGAGGCCAAGTGCTTTAACCTACCCTGAACTGCAGGTCCCTCATATGTAAATGGGGTTAATATTATTGGCCTTTCTGTCAGTTTTCAAAGATTAGGTTCATGTAGATAAAGTAGCTGACCCAGTCATCTCACAACTGTCATCCACCTCCTCGTGTTTTGTTATCTGACTTCCCCACCCACATGTAAGCCCCCAGGGACACTCACACAGTATACATTCTCAACAGTATAGGTAACTTGCCGTAGAGTGATGGAGAGGATTCTGTGTGGGGCGGGCTCCTCCGGGAGCCCCTGTAGTCGAGACCATTGCCCCGCATACATCTTTGACTTAGTTATGGCTTTTTCTGGCTTTGCCATCAGTGTCTTGGTTATTCTTTGGAGGTATTTTATGAACAAGAAGACATCACACCCATACTGACCCCTGAGGACCTGAGAAGAAAGCTCACACTCTTTATCACTCACTCTCTGCTTTTTAGGGTCTGATTTCTAAGAAGTTCCTCTGTTCAAATTTTCCAGGAAACTTGAAGAGCTTCCGTATGGCCAAAGGAGAGACAACATGTGTGCTGACTAGCTTGGGTCATGAGACCCACTGTCAAAGCAGGAAGGAGGAGCAGGAAGGGAGGAGGGACGGGAATTACTGAAAACCACTTATTTTCAACACACAGCCCAGGTGACCTGAGGATTGCCAGGAGTCAAGGCTTTAAAGACGGGTATTACTTTTGCTGTTGCTAGTCAGTTCATTTCATTATGCGTAACCCTTCTTATATTCTGAAAGAGAATAAAATCAAATGCAGGACTGGTCCCAGGACAGGGGCTAACTCAGCTTTCCTTTCTGGAGGCCCTGGAGGGCTCTCCTTCCCCTTCTCAGCTCCTCAGGAGCATCCTTTTTGTTGGCATCCCGGACCACCCCTCACCCCAGCTGGAAGGGCTAGAGAGGCTTCCTAAGCCCCTTCTCCATCACTTCTGTCCCCCCACCCTCACTCACCATCTTAGTTAAAATCAAGTGACAATTCTACCTGCTCTGAAAATGAATGAGAAATTTCACTCTTTGGGACCCATCTGTTCTACTCTCAATTCTAGTGATTCTCCAAGAGTGGTTCTCTGACCATCTGAGCATAGTCTCCTAGATGCCTATTGAAAATGCACACTCTTAGCTTCCCTCCCCTGTGGAAACTCTGGGGGTGCAACCCAGAAAAGCACATTTGAAACAGGCAGCCCCAGGAGTCCATTAAAGTTTGGAACCCCATTATTCTGCACCAGTTCCTTATTTCTTTCCCTTCTGTTTCCCCTCATCTTCTCTTTCTTTCCTTATTCCCTGTGACTCTTGCTCACCTGTCTCCTCCCTTCCTCCTTCTTAATGTCAAGGCTTCAGAGTAGCCCACTGAACTATTTTTTTTTACCTTTTATTGGAGTATAGTTCATTTACAATATTTATTAGTCTCAGGTGTACAGCAAAATGAATCAATTAATATATATACACATATATCCACTCTTTTTTAGATTCTTTTCTCATATAAGTCACTACAGAATATTAAGTAGAGTTTCCTGTACTATACAGTAGGTCCTTAGTAGTTATCTGTCTATTTATACATAGTAGTGTGTATGCATCAGTCCTGATTTTTTAACATATTCAAGTCCCTGAGAAACTCAGCGAAGAGGGAAAAAAGAAGGTATATATTTCTTACTGCCTTGTTTGTCCCCATAAAAGAAGGGTAGACATGAAGCTACCTTCTCCAAGCCCCACCTTTGGGAAATGCATCATTCTTTAAAGTACACACAGGCATCCCTTGCAGTATAGGAGAAAAACTTAGAGGTTGGCAGTATCCTTTAGAGAAACAGTACTGGTGTGATGTCCCAGGGGGGCCAGTGAGTACCTGCCTCAGATCGGACACCTGGGTCCCCTCACTGGATGGCACAGGTGATGAAGGCATTGAGGGAGATGGAGCCAATTGGACAGGAAGTGGGGGAGAAGGGAGGTGATCAAGGAGGGTGTCTGCACAGAGCTGGGGGCGAGTGCCGCCAAGGTCCTGAAACTCTGCTTTTGTTTTCACAGCTTCTACAGAAAGAGACCAAGATGAACACAGAGGTGAGTGCTCTAAGAGGACCGATTGAAGGATGCTTTTCTTGCAGCATACTTCATTTCTCCTTCACAGAGCGTCTTCCCCTCCAGAGCTTTCGGAAACATCAGCACAAACTTGAAAACGTGTCCCCTGCATCCTGCCACGCACATGGCTCCGGGTGATGGGGGAAGAATTCGGCCCCTCTGAGCTCTTATCTGTGCCTGTCCAGCTTCAGTTAGATTAGAATTTATCTACCTCAGTTAATCCTGAAACAACACTCGTGGGCTGGGGTGGAGTGGGCTACAATGGAGTGTGGCAGCTGCTGGGCCCTAATGTCATTCTGGGAACAATTAACTCTGCTTATAAGGATCTTCCTCTGCATCATCTCCTTGTATTCTCACTACCACTGAACCTGTTCTGCAATCCAGCGAGCTGCCTCGTTTCTTTGTACCTTTGTTTTTTCCTGACCAATCAGCCCTTTCTGCTCTCACTCCCTTCAGGTCCAGCCTAGACCCTGGAGTCCTCTCTTTCACTACGACTGTGCTCATGCTCCCAGCTCCTTTCCCCTTGTCCTCTTGATCCTGCATGGCCAGCCTAGAGACCATGCCCAGAGGATGGTGGTCTTGGGTGAGTGGCACAGTTTCGTGCTATTTGCAGCTGACAGACTTCTCAAAACCCTCATCTGGGTACTCAGCATGCCCACTAGGCCCCCTCCTTGGCCCCCAGACAGCTCTCTTTCCCTCTTTCCTGAATAGCCAGGTCTGGTCTTCCTCACTCCTCCCAGCTCCTTCCTCACTCTTAGCTTCTGATCACCTTTTACTTTGTGGAGAAAAATTGGAACCATCAGACATCATCTCTTGTCAATTTCTGCTTCCCCATCTGGCTTGTTTTTCTTCCTAGAGGAAGGTTTGTTTATCAGTGAGAGAGTTCCAGACTGCGAGTAAAGAAAATCCCAATTCAATGTGGTTTTTGTGCTGGAAGTCCAGATGGAGGGCAGGCTCCAGAGCAGGTTGATCCAGTGGCTCAGTCATCTCAACAAAGATCCAGGATCTTTTCATCTCTTTGCTCTCATCCAAGTGTTGGCTTCATCTGGGAGATAGTGGCCCTCATGGTTATAGGATGGCTGCCAGCAGCGGTTGGGGCTACATGCATCCTCATTCACTCTGAGTGGGAGAGAGAGATGGATTCCTGCAGCTCTCCCCGAAGAGTGGGAGCCTCCTTTCTTGAAGTTCCAAGTGCCTTTTTAGGCCTCATTGGCCAGATCTGGGTCACATGCCCGTTCCTGGACCAATTACTGTGTTAGAGGAGCCAGGATTTTGCCAACTAGCTTAGACTAATCAGGCTCAGCTAGAGCATCTTCTCCTCTACCCCAGAAAGGGAAATGAAACTTCAGGAAAGGACCTACTGCATCGCATCCCAGATATTTCTTGTGAATGTGGGTCAATTGAAAAAAATGCAAAGTCGAGAATTATGTTTTATGGGAAAACTTACTGAGAACTTAAGCCTGGGCTGCAGTTTCTGTTATAGCTCTGAGGGACTGCTCTAAAGAGGTAAGGGACGTGCCAGGGATATATAGAAGTTTTTGCAGACAAACACAAAAAACAAAAAAACAGGTAGTTGGAAGGTAATCAAAAGATTACTATTAATTAAAGGAAAACAATTATCTCAAATTAATGAATTTATCACTTTTGTGTGTATGAGAAGATGCAAGAATCTAGGATTATTGAAATCATTCTTTTGATAAGCACCTTAGCTATCCCAGACCAGCATCCTACTCCTTCCCATCCTGAGGGGGCACCATTGTGGGTAGCTTCAGAGGCTGCCGGCTTGGTGGCCTCAATATCCTTTGTTTACTGGCATGACAAGGAACACTGTTTGTCCACACTCAGAACTAAAGACTCTGCTGCCTGTTCAGGTTCTGTACCACCTGTCTGAATTCCTCTTTGACCAGCTGCATTGTTCAGCTTGTTTCTACTAGTTCTTTCCCATCAGCATTTCCAACTGCTTTAGTTTTTACTTTCTCAGAACGAAACAACGCCTGAGGTCTTCTCAAGCTACTGTAATCCTATTTTCTCATCCCCTTCAGAGGGGGGATTGTTGACATGCTCAAACTGCTGTAGTCTTCCTAGCATTATACTGAAATTCATCTTTAAAAAGTAGTTTTTAAATATAATTCTAAAAGAAACATGTACCTCTATGGTCATAGCAGCACTGTTCACAATAGCCACAACATGGAAGCAGCCTAAATGTCCATTGACAGGTGAATGGATAAAGAAGACGTGGTACATGCATACAGTGGAATGCTACTCAGCCAGAAGGAGGAGGAAATAATGCCATTGCTGCAACATAGACACAACTAGAGATTGTCATACTAAAGTGAAGTAAATCAGAAAGAGAAAGACATATTATATGATATCACTTGTATGTAGAATCTAAAATATGGCAGAAATGAGCCTATCTACAAAACAAAAAGAGATTCATTGACATAGAGAACATACTTCTGGTTGCCAAGGGGGAAGTGGGGAGGGAGAGATGGACTGGGAATTTGGGGGTGGTAGATGCAAACTATTACATTTAGAATGAATAAACAACAAGGTCCTAATGTATAGCATAGGGAACTATATCCAATCTCCTGTGATAAACCATAATAGAAAAGAATATAAAAAAAGAATGTATATACATGTAAAACAAAAAACAAGTTTTTTTTTTTTTAAATTTATTTTTGTAGTAGTGTCAATACACAGACCTAGAACAAAACTCAAGAGCTACAAAATGTTAAATAGTCAAAAGTGAGTCTCCTCACTACCTCATCACCCCAGCCTCCCCTACCCCAGGGTTGACCTCTGTTAACCATTTTCTGGTGCCTCTGCCCTCTTATCCGAAGTCCCCATGACTTGCTCTAATTCTCATGGTCTTGGAAATTGTGCAGAAAGAGTAGAAACTTTGCACTCATATTAAGCTCATAGAGCCTGGCTCAGTAATAGTTCTGTCAATCATCAACCACCCCTTCTATTCTATAATTTTGATTTTCCTTCTTTGGTGGCTTTTCTCTCTCAACCTTTTAAAAATATTCCCAGACCATGGGACCCCCTTTAACTAGTCCGCCTTCTCTTCTGCCTTAAACACCCTATGACTACCTTCTGTGACCCCCTTCTTCCATTTCCTGTCTAATCCCTGGGCAGCCTGACATGGTCCTTACTGCTCCGGTAAAACATCTCAGAGCTCTCTCTCTCTCTCTCTGGAAGTGATACCTCCCTTGTGTGAATTTCCGTAGCCCTTTAATGATCTTTTTTTTGTGTGTGTGACCTTCCATTCTCTGACTTGGGTAGAGCTGTCTGTGTGCCTCCTTCATCTTAGCATCCCCACAGCATCTGACCTGGTGCCTTAAACACCGTGCACCATGTGTTCTCGCTGAGTGGCAGTTGACTCAATGATGGGGTGATTCAGAGACTGTCTAGTCATCGTGTACAACAACCCAGAGCTTGGGTGGATCGGTGAAAATGCAGAGGAAGAGAAACCTGCAGTGACTTGAGGCTGGCTGGAGCGGGGAGGGAGGAGCAGGTTCTCAGCTGCAGTCAGCCCTTTGGTCTCAGATGATTTGCCCGAGGCAGCAAAGACTCCCAGGATTTCCAGCACATCATGCTGGGTGCCTGATGGAATTTGCGGAGCCCCCGGCCTTTGCCCGGAAGTTCAGAGCACAGTCTGGTGAGGTGAGTTCAGAGCACAGTGAGGCTGGTGGTTGGAGTCTAGCACAGAACATGAGGATCCAGGTCAGGGTGGGATGGCCAGGTGGAAATGCCAGTTGGCATTCCTTCCTGGGTCTGGAGCTTGGAGGAGAGGACAGCTCACCGTGCACGATGTTGGAGCCTTCAGCACAATGGTGGTCTTGGAAGCCTTAAGAATGAGAGACACCCCTCCCCTATTCGGGGAATACAGGGAGGAGAGAAGACCAGGGGGACAGGATTGAGCATGGGGGAATGTGCACCACCAGGGAGCAGGATGAAGAGGGAAAGCAGTGAAGGGTGAAAAGGAAATCTTGCTGGGAGGTGAGGGAAGACAGGGAAGGAGTGAATTTTAAGAAGGTCCCCTCAAGTATCGAACAGGAGTGAGGCCCAGGAGAATGCAGCCTAGGGAAAGCCCTTGAATTTGGCGAAGATCTGAGATGACCTGTAATGAGGCAGAGAGGTTTGGTAGGGAAACCCAGATTACAGCTCGGCGGGAAGGGTGAGTGGGGAGAGCAGACGCAGCCTGGAGTTGTGGGGTGTCGGCTGATGTGGGGGCAGTGGGCACCATCAGGGGCAGAGTGTCCTGGAGCGCAAACAGCAGAGGACACCCAGCTCTGTAGTGGGGGCCCAGGAAGGGAGCAGGGCGTAAGTCCAACTCTGTACAAACTGTAGAGTTCTCGTCTTCTCAGAGCATTCCTCAGATTTTTATATCTATCTTAAGTGTTTGTGTTTTGGATAACCTACATTCACATGATTCAAAATTTTAAAGAATTTCACACACACACACACACAAACTTTATCCTGAGAAGTCCTCTTCTCTCCCAGGTACTCTGTTCTCATGCTTCAAGGCAGCCACCCTTGCTGGTTTCTTGTCTGTCCTTCCAGAGAGAGTCAAAACATATACAACTATTTTTTTTTCCTTCAGCCATTGCCCCGCCCTCCTTTTTTTAGTTTTTTAACATAAACTAGAGAAACATCTTACACTGGTCTGTATTTTTCTTTTCTCACCCAACAATGTATCTTGGAGATCAGTCCCTTCTAATACATAAAAAACTTCCTTGTTCTTTTTTTACAGTTATGTAGCATTCCATTTTCAAAGTATACCATAATTATCTAACCAGCCTGCTATTAACAACATGTACTTTATATTCAGTCTTTTGCTGTTACAAGCAAGGCTGCAATAAACTTGAGTCATTTCACTTATGTATGTGCTTTGAAAATGAATTCCCCCCCATCCCCAACAAAGAATATTTGCATGTTAAATATTTCCAAGCTGCTCTCCATAAAGGTTGCCTGTTCTC